AAAAAAAAAAAAAAAAAACCAAAAACAAAGTAATTGGCCGATTACTTTCGACACTCGATGGAAAACCACTCTAATGGCATTCAATAATTGTTTCATCATTCGATCACCAAGTTTGTTTTCATATTTAAATCACTCTCTGACAGCACAGGGAAGCTATCTGCCATTTTTCGCACAAGAGCTCGAGCGTGGTTACAATTACGCATGAGCAGAGTATTATTTGCAGTAAAACATATTGTGCATGTGCAGACCATTATTTGTAGACAGTTATTTTCAGGTCACGTGGTGGTCTCGGCCATTGAAAAGGGAGACGGAAATGCAGCAAATAGGGGTTATTTCAATAATTTCAACAAAGAGAACTACATGAGGGCTTGCTTTAATCATATGATAATAGCTCGCAGAGAAAGCCCTTCTACACGATTAAAATAAAGCTAATACACTACAAAGCACAGTGTACTGCGTGGATGACGTATGGTAACTAGTGGAAGTCTGTTCCAGGTGTTCTGTCAGTAGGGAGCTGGGCGAAAAAACGCCGAGAGAGACTGAACGTCTAGACCAGGCCAAACTGGTAACAACTATCGATATACATTAAAAATGTCAAACAAATACTAAGAAGAATGTGTACTAAATGTAAAACTGACTGAAAATTTTAACAGTATCCCGGATGCATATGGTTATTCGTAGCTAATGTATAAGGCGGTTACAAGGTGGCAGCGGTTTATTGTATATCCTCGCCGTCTAGAAACGAAAGTAACTTATTCAAATCTGGACAGCTTCTTGTTACCTCGTGATACTGGTGCAATACCTGCAACGACGTAAAGAAAATTCAAAATATCTACAGCAACGAACAAACAAGTAGGGATGGGAGGCGGCTGTATTCGGAGGCTACTATCACACTTGAGGGAGGGGAGGGACGTAGGAGTTAATGTGCTTTGAAGCCGTAAGATTGCTTGTGAGACGGGCTTTGTCTGGATCGACAGTGAGAGGAGTGCGCGCATGGTCATTTAGGAAAGCTTATATAGCCGGCAATTTGTTGACATAAACGTCGCACTAAGAACAGTGCTGTGGGCTTCCCTCTCGTTTTGTGCTTTTGCTCACCACGAACAGCAAGACGATTCCACGGGATTAAGCAGGAAAACTGTTACTTGCGATTACTTATTATTACTTACGAGCCTAATCTTTTCCACCAAGCCATCCAGACGAAATATCTCCGTCTCTGCCTTCTGAATGTTGCCTTCAAGGACTCGAATCTGAAGAAAAAAAAATCTGAGGAAGTCAGGCCGAGTATAATTAAACAAAAGGGAGGGAGGAAGGCAGAATGGGGTGGGAAGAAAAACACGCCAGCGACTTATGATGTGTTGGACTTAAAGGGACATCAACATAGGTATTTTGGTTAAAAGGGTGCTAAAACTATGACAAGCACGCTATTTGCCCAAGCGAGAAACACCAAGCGGAGGATATAGTGAATTTTTAAGGTAGAGCCAACTGTCGGTTTACAACGATTCCTCCAAGACACGGAGACAGATCTTATAAACATCTGACTTTTTCATGTTGAGTTCATGCTTTACACTCCTTTACTAGCTTCAGTGAACTGGGATTAGTAATTGTTGACAAAAGGCCACTGTCAATATCCCGATTACTTACAAATATCTTTGGAAGTAAATATTGCCTGAGCGGTAACATGAATGACAGCTAAGTAATGCGATCAAAGTCTGACCTTGGAATCTGTTCTGCATTTGTATTCTGACAAATAGTCCTGAGTCTCCATTCGGTATGTCACTGACTTTTCTTTCAGCTTTTGCACCTAAAAACGAAAACAAATCAAATGACAGACGTCATGTTAGAACGTGCAATGTTAGCGCTTACACTGGGTGTGGAGTGGGCGAGGTTAGCTGGGAGACCCAGTGGCACAGATGTGTACTCCATTTAGAGGTCATTGCGTCGTGTTCTAGAGTTAGACACTATGTTCTCACGGTGTCTCTCTCCACACAGGTGTACAAATAGGAACTAGTGTTCAAATCTGAATTTGCTCCTACAATTTGGTCACATTTTTGGAAATTCAAAGTTCTCAGATTTTAAATAGCGCCTCTGACGAGGTAAACCTTGGTGTTAATCAGCCCGGGATGAGCTCCGGGGGTTTGGAACGTCTGGTTCAATGCAAACGTTTTACTTAAAAATGATCGTGCTGATATGAAGTTATTTATACGGTCCCATTTGGTGGATATCATAAAACACTTCATTTTTGTTTTGTTTTTTTTGCGTCACCTTGTTCTCTAATTTGAATTTCTCAGCCAGCAGTGTCCCAAGAACATCTTGTGTTTTGTCGACACCCGGTTGGGCTTCAGACAGTTGGTCTAGTGTTGAAAGACTTTCTTTCAATTGCTGCGACAAGCTTTCTTTCTCTCTTTCTAGCGTTTTAACTTGGTCTGAAAAGCGCTGAACGTCTGCTGTGAGCTCCTACAAAACAAACAAGAGCCAGGCACACCATTCAACTCTCCAAAATGTTCTATATATACTTATCAGGGCCTGAGGTACAAATAAGTCCAAAGATTAACTAAAAATGCTAAAACTGTAAAATGTTAAAAATGTTAAATGTTAAAATAGTCACATTAATGTTCAAGCACACCGTTCCCGCAAGAAGGGAGATGAAGTTTTGGATTAATTATGACATCTTTATGTAGTTGACTAAATCCATAAGTAAGTGAAAGCCAAATACTAAAAACATTCGCGAAGGAAACGGAAAATTGATAAATTACGAGTGCCATTGTTTATTTCATTGATTGGTTGCTTATTAAAGAAAACCATAAAAAACACGTCATACAAAATTGTAAATAATCATTGTCTTAGTGAGAGGTGCTCTTTAGTCTGCTTACCGCTATTCTAGTCTGTTGGTCAATCGTCTTTTCACACTGCTCACTAAGGGAATCCAGTTTTGTAAAGGAATGTTGTAGGTTGTTGTTGCTTTCCTCCAGCTGCTGTTGTAGTGTTGATATTTGCTGGTTCTTTCGAGAGATTTCTCGGCGTAGACTGCTTTCTCGTATTTTTGAGTCTTCCAGTTGTGACATGAGATTTTGAAGAGAGGACTTGTGTTGTTCTTCCATTGAAACCCTGGGTAAATATCAAAGCAGTAACACTTCTAAATAGCATTAATTAATAAAAGAAAAAAAAAAAGAGAAGTACAGTTTTGTGCTGTCTCTGATTAATGACCACACTTTTCTGAAGTAACAACTTGTACAAGAACAGCTGGTATGAAAAACAGTCTATATCAGCAACTGATGAATATGAAGCCAATAGATCGCGTCAATAGATCGCGTTCCTACTACTCAGACTCTTTCAGAAATTTCATTATAATAATTTCATTAAATTTCATTATTTTGCAGCCAGAGCTCAAACGAAGGAAAGAACTGGGCGTAAAAAGATGATTCAGTCACGGGACACAGCAATGTTCAATCTTGCGCTTGTGATAGAACACACAGCAGTTTTAAGAAGTGAAACCACTGTTTATCAGCTTGTACATACCTCTTACTAACAGAGTTCGAGGTCCGTACTGTAAGTCACGGACCGAGTTTTTCCCCCTTTGATTTATGGCCCAAGCGCGAAGCGCGCGGGTTATAAATCGATGGGGAAAAAACGAGGATCCGTAACTTACAGTACGGACCGAGAAGACGAGGTTAGTAAGATATTTATT